GCTCCACCTCACTTGCACCACCTCACCTGCACAACCTCACCTGCTACACCACCCCCTGCTCCACCTCACTTGCTCAACGTTCACTATTATCATACTTTTATTCCTTGTACGAACGTCAAAATACATAACATTCATCACTTTTCCCCTACGATGCCTTGACTTCGTTATATCCAGCGGTATGTGGCCCAGAGTTTTACGACTCACTCGTCCTGGGTTCAAATCCCAACCGTTCCATGGTGTATATGGATGACACAGATGGCAGCCCTCGGGTCTATAGGGGGTTACCATGATCCTGGAACCCAGTTCTTTGAGGAAATTCCCATGGCACGGTATCTTTAGAGGCAAATTGTCGTTGATATTACGTTTAGGATGAAGCCTTAAACCCGTATGGGGTCACACACTCAATGGGAAATGAACGAGAAGTAATCAGGTTCGATACCCAACAGAGAGGGACAAGTGTATCAAACGTGACAAAGGCGCCCAGCAAAGGGGAGTCAGGTGATCGTATTTGCTTGAACCTCCTTCTCCTTGTCTTTTCTGCAACATTGCAAGTTCCTGATAGTGTGTTGATTGCAACACGAAAGGCCTAGAGCTATCATTCAACTCCTCCCGTGGTTGTTTTGCATCTTGCACCGCTTGTTCGCGATATATGCATACATTACTATACAAGATCCTCGCTTCTCCATCAGAATTAATTCTAAATGACAGAATCATGTGCTGAGTCCAGAGAACTTTAACATTATACTTGAAGTACATAATACTTTGGATTTAAATTATACAGTTAATATATTAAACAACTTAAACCTGGAGTCTTTGGGTGAGTTCGGTTTTTTGTTTATATTCAGTGTTTTGGCTTGTATTTTTTCTCTACCTTTGTGTATTACAGCTTGTGTATTATTATGTCATGTTGCAGAAACAAATGATGGTGATGGGCATGTATTTATCACCGAAATGTTCATATATACTACAAATGTGTTAAGATCACGTGTGTGTGTGTCTATGTGTGTGTGTGTGTGTGTGTTTGCTCACCTATTTGTGGTTGCAGGGGTCGATTCATAGCTCCTGGCACCGCCTCTTCGCTGGTCACTACTAGATCCACTCTCTCACTGCTCCATGAGCTTCATCATACCTCTTCTTAAAGTTATGTATAGATCCTGCCTCCACTACATCACTCTCCAGATTGTTCCACTTCCTGACAACTCTATGAGTGAAGAAATACTTCCTAACATCCCTGTGACTCATCTGAGTCTTCAACTTCCAGTTGTGACCCCCTTGTTTCTGTGTCATATCTCTGGAACATCCTGTCTCTGTGCACCTCTTAGATTCCTCTCAATCTTTTATATGTCGTTGTCATGTCTCCCCTGTCCCTCCTGTCCTCTAGTGTCATCGGGTTGACTTCCTTTAACCTATTCTCGTAGGACATACCCCTTAGCTCCAAGGCTAGTCTTGTTGCAAACCTTTTCACTTTCTCTAATTTCTTGACGTGGTTGACCAGGTGTGGGTTCCATATTGGTGCTGCATACTCCAATATGGGCCTGACGTTCACAGTGTACAGTCTTAATAAGGTGTAGAAACGCTATTCTTAGGTTTGCCAGGCGCCCATATTCTGCAGCAGTTATTTGGTTGATGTGCACCTCAGGAGATGCGCTCGGTATTATGCTCACCCCAAGATCCTTTTCCTTGAATGAGGTTTGCAATCTTTGGCCCCCTAGCCTGTACTCTGTCTGCAGTCTCCTTTGACCTTCCCTAATCTTCATGACTTTGCACTTGGAGAGGGTAAACTCCAGAAGCCAGTTGCTGGACCAGGCCTGCAGCCTGTCCAGATCCCTTTGTAGTCCTACGTGATCCTCATCCATTTGAATTCTTCGCAGTAGCTTCACATCGTCTGCAAACAGGGACACCCCTGAATAACAAAAAACGGCACAATACCGTAACTGGAACGAAGATGGTCCAAGTCGGACCGAAACGTCGTCGTAAGCTCCTCTCTTCTATGTGTGGGTTATTTGTGTAACACCTCTGAATCTATCCCTTCCGTCATGTTACATATACCAGAAACATCACCGGTCCTAGGACTGACCCTTGTGGAGCCCCGCTCGTCACAGGCGCCCACTCTGACACCTCGTCACGTACCATCACTCGTCGTTTCCTTTCTGTCAGGTATTCTCTGATCCATTGCAGTACCTTCCTTGTTATTCCTGCCTGCTCCTCTAGCTTTTGCACTTATCTCTCGTGTGGAACTGTGTCAACAACCTTCTTACAGTCCAAGAAAATACAGTCTACCCGCTCCTCTGTCTTTCTTGTCTTACTTCTGTCACCTTGTCGTAAAACTCCAGTAGGCTAGTGACAGGATTTTCCTTCCCTGAAACCGTGCTGGTTATCTTGTATAAGCTCATTCTTTTCTAGGTGCTCCACCACTCTTCTGATATGTGTGTGTGTACTCACCTAATTGTACTCACGTAACTGTGGTTGCAGGGGTCGAAACTCAGCTCCTGGCCCCGCCTCTTCACTGATCGCTACTAGGTCACTCTCCCTGAACATGAGCTTTATCATACCTCTGCTTAAAGCTATATATGGATCCTGCCTCCACTACATCGCTTCCCAAACTATTCCACTTACTGACTACTCTGTGGCTGAAGAAATACTTCCTAACATCCCTGTGATTCATCTGTGTCTTCAACTTCCAACTGTGTCCCCTTGTTACTGTGTCCAATCTCTGGAACATCCTGTCTTTGTCCACCTTGTCAATTCCTCTCAGTATTTTGTATGTCGTTATCATGTGTCCCCTATCTCTCCTGTCCTCCAGTGTCGTCAGATCGATTTCCCTTAACCTCTCCTCGTAGGACATACCCCTTAGCTCTGGGACTAGTCTTGCTGCAAACCTTTACACTTTCTCTAGTTTCTTTACGTGCTTGGCTAGGTGTGGGTTCCAAACTGGTGCCGCATACTCCAATATGGGCCTAACGTACACGGTGTACAGGGTCCTGAACGATTCCTTATTAAGATGTTGGAATGCTGTTCTGAGGTTTGCTAGACGCCCATATGCTGCAGCAGTTATTTGGTTGATGTGCGCTTCAGGAGATGTGCCTGGTGTTATACTCACCCCAAGATCTTTTTCCTTGAGTGAGGTTTGTAGTCTCTGGCCCCTTAGACTGTACTCCGTCTGCGGTCTTCTTTGCCCTTCCCCAATCTTCATGACTTTGCACTTGGTGGGGTTTAACTCCAGGAGCCAATTGCTGGACCAGGTCTGCAGCCTGTCCAGATCCCTTTGTAGTTCTGCTGGTCTTCGATCGAATAAATTCTTCTCATCAACTTCACGTCATCTGCAAACAGGGACACTTCGGAGTCTATTCCTTCCGCCATGTCGTTCACAAATACCAGAAACAGCACTGGTCCTAGGAGTGACCCCTGTGGGACCCCGCTGGTCACAGGCGCCCACACTGACACCTCGCCACGTACCATGACTCGCTGCTGTCTTCCTGACAATATTCCCTGATCCATTGTGGTGCCTTCCCTGTAATCCCTGCTTGGTCCTCTAGTTTTTGCACTAATATCTTTTGTGGAACTGTGTCAAACGCCTTCTTGCAGTCCGAGAAAATGCAATCCACCCACCCCTCTCTCTCTTGTCTTACTGCTGTCACCATGTCATGGAACTCCAGTAGGTTTGTGACAGAATTTCCCGTCCCTGAAACCATGTTGGCTGCTGTTGGTGAGATCATTCCTTTCTAGGTGTGTGTGTGTGTGTGTGTGTGTGTTGTGTGTGTGTGTGTGTGTGTGTGTGTGTGTGTGTGTGAATTTAGACTAATGCACAAAAGCACTGAAATTATTCCCAGGTAGCCGCATGTAAAAACCACACAAGTTTACTATTACCAGGACTGAATCTGTAGTAAAAAAATCATTTTGCTTACGATCAGTGGACTTGGTATTGAGTTTTGAAATGTTAAATGTGACGAGGTTAGCAGTATTAACCCAGTGTGGCGAGGTTACCAGCCAGCCAGGAAGTGAGAGTCATAGTGAATGTTAGCAAGCTTGTACGTAGGTTCAAGTGTATGTGCTGAGTACAGTACTCAGGCCAGGCTCCCTTCACACACCTCACCCATTTACGCAATATATCTATATCTATATCTATCTATCTATTTATCTATCTATCTATCTATCTATCTATCTATCTATATATATATATATATATATATATATATATATATATATATTATATATATTATATATTGTGTGTGTGTGTGTGTGTGTGTGTGTGTGTGTGTTGTGGTGTGTTATAATGTCGTGCTGAATAGGCAAAACTTGTGATTTTGGCTTAAATAAAACGCTCTTCTTGCCGAATAAGGCAAGCGAAAATTTGTGTATGCAATAATTTCGCAAAACTCATTCTTAATCTAACGAAAAAAAATATATTTCGTTGTGTTTCTTTATTTTTAAATTATTGTAAACTTATCAAAAGTATATTTAGTTGGATTATGCTAAATTAAATTTCGCTTGTTAGGTAAGGTGGGTAAGGTTAGGTTAGGTGGGTAAGGTTAGGTTAGGTGGGTAAGGTTAGGTTAGGTAAGTTTTCTAAGGTTCTTTTGGTACAAAATTATTAATTTTTACATTAACATAAATGAAAAAATATATCTTTCAACGGTATAGAAAATTGTGTACATTAATTGTGTCATACATGGATGTACGTCACTACTCTGGGCATCTCTGGAATAATGTCATTATTCTGTTTTGGGATGTTTAAAATAAATGACCTGCCATTGTGATCGTGGCGCCAAAACCAGACTTCCCCCCCCCCCCGTTGATATTTTACGGCTTTTAAAGAGAGTCGGTCACCAGTTAAAGTAGAGTTGAGGTGTCTCTCTCTCTCTCTCTCTGGATATTTTGCGATGTGGTCCAGCTTTCTGTTTAGAACAATTATTCTCTTTTCTTTATCCATCGAAATTTATTTACCCATATTTTAACAATATTTTAATCCCCAAAATAGGGAGGTAGGGGTGAATACATCTCATAATGTAGACGCCTTTAAACACCAACAACAAACAATAACAGAGTCGGTCTTCAGCACGTGTGTTGAATTTTATATAATTACAAAATTTCGTGGAATATTGAAATCAGACATGATTCTGGAGGGTTGTCGTGGGAGTACTGGGAGTGAGGACCTACTGAGTGTACCTAGGGAGGAGAGAAGGCAGACAGCAGTAAGAGAGACAGTGAGTTACCACAACCTGTGTAAGAAGTACTTACTGTGGGGCAGTAAAGATGTCACTCGTCAGTACTGTAACATGTATGCTGCCAGACTCACCAAGATGACACCCAAGGTGCAGGCTAGGGCAGCAACCATCTGGGGTGAGTACAAACTTGCTGCTAGGTTTTAAATAAGATATTACAGGTGGTAGTAGTGGTAGAATTATCGACAAAATGTTAGATAAATGGACACAGATGCAACTATTGTGATATTTTATTGTGGCAATATTTCACTCTCCAGGAGCTTCACAAAGCTTCTAATTAAAATGGTTATAACTGACCATAATTTTTAAAGGGGTGGACCGGTAAGCCAGCGGAAGGCCTCGGTCAGATGACCAAAGCTCCAAAGGCGGGTCATCTGACAAAGACTCAGGAAACACTTGTCCTGTTTCCTGACAAACCTTACCTAACCTAACCTAGCTTCTGGAGAGCAAAACATTGTCACAATAAAATGTCACATTAGTTGCATCTGTGTCCATTTACCTAACAAGACATTACAAGGACCCCAATGGTAATAAGTTATTTTGACTTGGGGAGGGAGGGCTATCCTATGTAATTTACAGATATGTTACTATGTATGATAAGTGTAATGTGTGCCTGTACCTAAATAATTTTACCCATTTCCTTCAAAGGATATACAGAAGCATTGGTCTGGTAATAAGAGTCATGGTTGAGTGGAACACACTCCCAGGTAGTATCATTGAAGTGAGAATCTTGGATCACTTTAAAAAATAGGTTGGACAAGTACGTAAGTGGGCGTGAATTGGACCTGCTTTGCATGGGCCAGTAGTCCTACAGCAGTGAGGTCACTGACCTTCTTTTGTATCATTTATACATGGTGTTTGTGACTAATTTCTGAACTGCAATAATTCCATAGTCTATGTATTTACTGTATAAATGCCAGTGATATGACTCATATTGCAAAGGTAGTCAGTCACTCAGGAGAAATCTTTGATATTTTCCAGCCAGAGGTGAGGTCTTCCACACACAAATTTAGTAAAACTATCGGCAAGCACTCTTGTAAATCCAGTGTAACTAAACCTAACCTCTATTATGTTCTTATAGGTGAGAAGGACAGTTTGAGGAATCTGCCTAGCATGGGCCAGTAGACCTACTGCAGGGCTCATCTATAATATCATGTATTAAACAGTAGGGGTGTACCAGAGTATAAGTAGTCAGTTATGTGTATATAGTCTTCTTAATAATGTTTATAATTAATACGTTATTCAGGACTTAAGCTTCATTATGGTCTGTGGTTTTTCCAGGTGATGCCAGCTTGAAGCAACTACATGAGCTGAGTGAGATGTGTGGAAAGTGCTTTATTATTGGCACACTATTTAAACGCCAAGAACTCAAACCATCTATACTGAAGGAGATATCAGAGGAAGTAGGTTTGTGTAATATCTCACACACATTACTGTACTACCAATTATATTGGAAATTTTGAACTTTACAAATCAGGAGAGAAAGACCATTGCTAAATATTTTTTGAATTTCCTTTTGTAACACATAAAATAATATTAAAAATGAGACATCTCTCACAACATTTGGGAATCTTTATTATGGAAACATTTCACCAGCCGGTGGCAAAACGTTTCCACAATAAAGATTCCCAAGTGTTGCATAAGTGTCTCATTCTTCAACTTGTCAGTTTTCTAAACCATTTACATCATGTAAAGTAAAAGTACACAAGTACAACTAATGTGACATTTTATTGTGGCAACGTTTCGCTCTCCAGGAGCTTTGTCAAGCCGTTACAAACAGTACATGGACACAGAGGGTATATATAGGCTCAGAGTGAGGTGCAATACTAGTGGTAGTAGTAGTAGTAGTAGTAGTAGAGATATAAGTAGTAGTAGTAGTAGTAGAGATATAAGTAGTAGTAGTAGTAGTAGAGATATAAGTAGTAGTAGTAGTAGTAATACAATATGTTAGAACAATTAACTTGCACATGAGTAAAGGATATAAAAGCTATTACTTGGGAAACATAAAAATTGGTTAGACAAATATTTCTATTGGAGGCTGGATAGAGAAGGCCTGTTTCAATGTTCATTCTCTGTAATGTGCTTGTGTAATATTAACAGGAGAGACTATGTGATGGCAGGGTTTACTGTTTTCAGGAGGATTCTTGCTAAGACTTCTCTCCTGTTAATATTACACAAGCACATTACAGAGAATGAACACTGAAACAGGCCTTCTTATCCAGCCTCCAATAGAAAATATTTGTCTAACCAATTTTTATGTTTCCCAAGTAATAGCTTTTATATTCTTTACTCATGTGCAAGTTAATTGTTCTAACATATTGTTATTACTACTGCTGCTGCCGCCGCCGCCGCCGCCGGCCGCCGCCGCGCCGCCGCGCGCCGCGCCGCCGCCGCCGCCGCCGCCCGCCGCCGCCGCCGCCGCCGCCCGCGCCGCCGCCACAATAAAATGTCACATTAGTTGCACTTGTGTACTTTTACTTTACATATTGTCTGTAATTCTACCAACTTTATTGCATTTACATCATAAAATAATACTGTCGTAATTTTAAATCATTAAGTACATAGTTGCAAAACCTAATAACTGTAGTTAAGAGCATACGTATGTAATACGTGTATAAGCCACTATCAGCAACGGCTGAGGAATTCACAGATCATTTAAGGAGATAGTTGCCTTAAATGGCTTGAAAATCCCACAAAAAATATTCTTCCTATAGATTTTAGCCTCCCAATTGTAAGATGGAAGATGGTTCATCATAGCGTTGTACCAGAAATAGTTCCTGGGAGCATGTTAGCTCAACTGGTACATACCAGGGAACTAATGAGACTTTTGGAAAGTTTGCTTTGAACTACAGATAACAGATCCCACTCGAAATGAAAATACACTGGATTTGATTTTCATGAACAAAAACTAATCAGAGACATAACACGCACAAACACAACATACTCTGATCGCAATATCATGGAAGTACCAACGAGTATAAACTAAGTGGTGGGGAACTCCAGTAATAATGTACAAGAAGAAATATGTAGTAAATTTAACGTCAACAATCACAGAATTGACGGATAAAATTTACAGAGAGCTATGAAACAGCCAGGGGAACAGTCATAAGCACTCTAAACCCTCACCAGTGCCTGGACAAGCTGAACACAGAAGCATACAAGGTCTATATTAAATATATATTATTGAGGAAACCTTGAAGATCAGTTAAAGAAAGAGAGTGTAGAAGTATGTACAGAAAAAGTTACCAAATTGCTTAAAATGAAAATTTTACGGAAGGAAAGATAAAAGTGGAAATCACCGAGACAGAAAAAATTTAAAGGTCGTACCAGACGAGAAACAAAGGAAAACAAAAAAGCCTTCGGGTATTGCAAAAAATTTCCCAAAATATTTCTGTACTAGCAAAACCCAAAAGTTAAGAACTACCTCAGATTGGCCATTAATAACGGAGGTTCATACACAAACGATGAACGGGGAAAGAATGAAATTCTAAGGGTTTGTAATAGAGTTGATTTTTCAGCACCAATTAATGAAAGCAGGGTGGAGAAGCAGTTTTTTTTTTTTTTATTTCTTTTGAAAACCTGCAGATGAATAACTGACATAGCACTGTCCCCTAAATTTTTTAAAAAAAATAAAAACGCTCATCTTCACACCCGAACTGGATTCATGGGTTTTTTTATTGATAAAAAAAGGAAAAGCAAAGTGACACTTAAAAAACACTGATATCCTTTTGAGAAAGAGCTTAATCTAACAGGCATACCCTTTTAGAAGGCAGCATAGAGTGCTGCAAAAAAAAAATTTCAGACCGTATTCACAAACTTGTGAATTTTTGGTCTCGCCTCGTTTTTTTTTATTTAAAAAAAAATCGTTATAATTTGGGTCCATTAAAAATTAGGGGCCCTTTGTTGCTTTTATAGAAAAGGGGTTATTTTTTGGGAATCAATTTGAAAAAGGGATTTTAAGAACAGTAGAAATTAGGGCAAAGCTAATTTTTTGGGGTTATGATGTTAAAAATGTTTTATAGACCAGTTACATGTTTTAGGGGGCCAAGTTTTCAGATACTTTTTAGTTGACTACCTGAATAAAAAGATGGGAAATTTCAAGGAGAATAGAACATCAGGGAAGAGAGAGGTGAAGGTTTATAAACTAAAAGAGGAGGCAGTTAGGGTAAGATATAAACAGCTATTGGAGGATAGATGGGCTAATGAGAGCATAGGCAATGGGGTCGAAGAGGTAGGGGTAGGTTTAAAAATGTAGTGTTAGAGTGTTCAGCAGAAGTTTGTGGTTACAGGAAAGTGGGTGCAGGAGGGAAGAGGAGCGATTGGTGAATGATGATGTAAAGAGAGTAGTAAGGGAGAAAAATGTTAGCATATGAGAAGTTTTTTACAAAGTAGAAGTGATGCAAGGAGGGAAGAGTATATGGAGAAAAAGAGAGAAGTTAAGAGAGTGGTGAAGCAATGTAAAAAGAGAGCAAATGAGAGAGTGGGTGAGATGTTATCAACAAATTTTGTTGAAAATAAGAAAAAGTTTTGGAGTGAGATTAACAAGTTAAGAAAGCCTAGAGAACAAATGGATTTGTCAGTTAAAAATAGGAGAGGAGAGTTATTAAATGGAGAGTTAGAGGTATTGGGAAGATGGAAGGAATATTTTGAGGAATTGTTAAATGTTGATGAAGATAGGGAAGCTGTGATTTCGTGTATAGGGCAAGAGGAATAGCATCTTGTAGGAGTGAGGAAGAGCCATTTTGTGAGTGTGGGGAAGTTCGGTGAGGCAGTAGGTAAAATGAAAGGGGGTAAGGCAGCCGGGATTGATGGGATAAAGATAGAAATGTTAAAAGCAGGTGGGATATAGTTTTGGAGTGGTTGGTGCAATTATTTAATAAATGTATGGAAGAGGGTAAGGTACCTAGGGATTGGCAGAGAGCATGCATAGTTCCTTTGTATAAAGGCAAAGGGGATAAAAGAGAGTGCAAAAATTATAGGGGGATAAGTCTGTTGAGTGTACCTGGGAAAGTGTATGGTAGAGTTATAATTGAAAGAATTAAGAGTAAGACGGAGAATAGGATAGCAGATGAACAAGGAGGCTTAGGAAAAGGGAGGGGTGTGTGGACCAGGTTGTTTACAGTGAAACATATAAGTGAACAGTATTTAGATAAGGCTAAAGAGGTCTTTGTGGCATTTATGGATTTGGAAAAGGCGTATGACAGGGTGGATAGGGGGCAATGTGGCAGATGTTGCAAGTGTATGGTGTAGGAGGTAGGTTACTGAAAGCAGTGAAGAGTTTTTACGAGGATTAGTGAGGCTCAAGTTAGAGTATGTAGGAAAGAAGGAAATTTTTTCCCAGTAAAAGTAGGCCTTAGACAAGGATGTGTGATGTCACCGTGGTTGTTTAATATATTTATAGATGGGGTTGTAAGAGAAGTAAATGCGAGGGTCTTGGCAAGAGGCGTGGAGTTAAAAGATAAAGAATCACACACAAAGTGGAGTTGTCACAGCTGCTCTTTGCTGATGACACTGTGCTCTTGGGAGATTCTGAAGAGAAGTTGCAGAGATTGGGGGATGAATTTGGTAGGGTGTGCAAAAGAAGAAAATTAAAGGTGAATACAGGAAAGAGTAAGGTTATGAGGATAACAAAAAGATTAGGTGATGAAAGATTGAATATCAGATTGGAGGAGAGAGTATGGAGGAGGTGAACGTATTCAGATATTTGGGAGTGGACGTGTCAGCGGATGGGTCTATGAAAGATGGGGTTTGAATCATAGAATTGATGAGGGAAAAAGAGTGAGTGGTGCACTTAGGAGTCTGTGGAGACAAAGAACTTTGTCCTTGGAGGCAAAGAGGGGAATGTATGAGAGTATAGTTTTACCAACGCTCTTATATGGGGGTGAAGCGTGGGTGATGAATGTTGCAGCGAGGAGAAGGCTGGAGGCAGTGGAGATGTCAATGTCTGAGGGCAATGTGTGGTGTGAATATAATGCAGAGAATTCGTAGTTTGGAAGTTAGGAGGAGGTGCGGGATTACCAAAACTGTTGTCCAGAGGGCTGAGGAAGGGTTGTTGAGGTGGTTCGGACATGTAGAGAGAATGGAGCGAAACAGAATGACTTCAAGAGTGTATCAGTCTGTAGTGGAAGGAAGGCGGGGTAGGGGTCGGCCTAGGAAGGGTTGGAGGGAGGGGGTAAAGGAGGTTTTGTGTGCGAGGGGCTTGGACTTCCAGCAGGCATGCGTGAGCGTGTTTGATAGGAGTGAATGGAGACAAATGGTTTTTAATACTTGACGTGCTGTTGGAGTGTGAGCAAAGTAACATTTATGAAGGGATTCAGGGAAACCGGCAGGCCGGACTTGAGTCCTGGAGATGGGAAGTACAGTGCCTGCACTCTGAAGGAGGGGTGTTAATGTTGCAGTTTAAAAACTGTAGTGTAAAGCACCCTTCTGGCAAGACAGTGATGGAGTGAATGATGGTGAAAGTTTTTCTTTTTTGGGCCACCCTGCCTTGGTGGGAATCGGCCGGTGTGATAATAAAAAAAAAAAAAAAATAATAATCAGCCTCTAGAAAAAAAAAACAAAGCTTCCCTATTTATTCCTAGGGCACCCTAGTATGTCTTGTCTGATATTAAGCCCTGACTGTATTGTGGTTGAATTCTAGGGAAATTGCCAACTGTTGATATTACTGGGCATTGTTAGAGACCACAAAGTGTGAAGAATACAGTGCTAAGCTTCACCATTGTGGGTTTATGAAGAATGTTTACTGCCTGCATAGAGCCAGTAAAACATTGAAATTAGTGGGAATGTCTCAAAGTACCAGGAATGTACTCTCTGGAGTGAAAAAGAGATACCTGATAATATACACAGCACATGGGAGATACTATACTAGAGGACCTGATCCTAAACTTACAAACAGCCATAGCAACATACAGGAGTGAGAGATAGGAAGGTGTAAAATAGACCCAGTGAAAGCAGGGGCAACATAGGTACATCCATGGTTGAAGACTATTCCATCTGATTCCCAGCAGGTACTAGGGATATAAGTGTAGACGTTTTCAAGAGAACACTGAATCGCTACTTTTGCCAAGTATCAGATTAACCAGGCTATGTATATAGACAAGTTGACCAGCCTGGTTGAACACACAACCAGCAGAAAAGCCTGGCCCTAAGCCAGGCTGTGAGGGTAAGAAAAAAAATAAAACTCAGAATCCACTACAGGTATATCACAAGTGTGGAGATCTCAGTAGCAAACAGTTTGTTAGCTCTCTGGCCAGGCTTGCAGTGCTTGTGTTGGCACTACTTATGGACCCTAAGCCCAGAATTAGACCAGGAGCTCAGTGGTAGTGTACTGCATTTGGCTCAGACTCAAAGGGCCTGGGTTCATGTCCCAGACAGGGCAATACATATGAGCAAGTCTCCTTACACCTGCTTTTCCTATTTACCTATGTGTCAGTTGGCTGTTATGTGTCACATTTAGTGAGTGGTGGTATGTTTTAGAGCTGGGCTTTGAAATAATATGAGGTAGGATAACAGCTCTTAACCTGTAAATTAAACTGTTAAAATAAACATTATGCAATGTGTGCCCATCCCACAAATAGTGACCATCCCAGAGGAGGTGCCTTGATTCCCATAAAAGGCTCTTGATCTAAGGAATATGAGCTACCCTACCCCTTCCTTAGATCTAATCTGATGGCCTCCCATTCCCCAAAAGATGCATTACCCCTACAAGTTTAGTGTTTCCCCATGTGGATAATCACAGTCACAGATAGTGACATAATATTACACTATCTTTCTTCAGCACCACTTGATGCCCCAGCCTGTTGCTGAGAAGTATGTGAGCAGTGAAGATGAAATTATTCTGGAAGATGAAGTGCAGAGAATACAGCTTGCTGGTAACATAGATGTGGCTAATCTTGTAACAGGTAATGTGTTTATCGTGCTTTTAATCTATAAATTGTGATATAAATAAAGCATATCACTCAGACTCCCCAGGATGGGACAATAGCCTGATTTTGACAGCACTAACTATAAGAAATATGCTCACCAGTATGATGTTTAGATGTTGTAGTCTGTGTAGCATTTGATCTGTGAGTATATGCTCATTATTTAACCCTTAACCCTTTGAGGGTCGGTCACGTACAAGAACGTCATTGCAGCCAGGGTCGGTCACCTACTTGTACGCCTAAATTCTAGCGCCTTCAAATCTGGTGGAAGAAAGCTGGGAGGCCTACATATGAAAGAATGGGTCTGTGTAGTCAGTGTGTGCCGTATAAAAAAATCCTGAAGCATGCTGTGCATAATGAGAAAAAAAAACTCCGATTGTGTTTTTGGTTTAAAACAGCGACTTTCTAGTGTATTTTTGTGTGGTATGTATTTATGGTTGTCTAGGTAGTATGTTGGTAGACAACAACTGCCCAGGGAGGTACTACCATCCTGCCAAGTGAATGTAAAACGAAAGCCTGTAATTGTTTTACATGGTAGGATTGCTGGTGTCTTTTTATTTGTCTCATACACATGCAAGATTTCAGGTATGTCTTGCTACTTCTACTTACACTTAGGTCACACTACACATACATGTACAAGCATATATATACACACCTCTCTGGGTTTTCTTCTATTTTCTTTCTAGTTCTTGTTCTTGTTTATTTCCTCTTACTTCAATGGGGAAGTGGAACAGAATTCTTTCTCCGTAAGCCATGTGTGTTGTAAGAGGCGACTAAAATGTTGGGAGCAAGGGGCTAGTAACCTTTTCTCCTGTATATATTACTAAATATAAAAGGAGAAACATTCGTTTTTTTCCTTTTGAGCCACCCCTCCTCGGTGGGATACGGCCGGTGTGTTGAAAGAAAGAAGAAAGATTTATGGTTGTATTCTCGTTTCCTTGGTCTCATTTGATAGAATGGAAGATATATTACAGAAATAGAGATGATTATGATTGGTTTCACGATGACAAGTACCTTGAAATTGAGCTCAAAGTAGCGAAAATTATTGATTTTTGCTGATATTCAAGAGTAAACAAATCAAGCCAAGCTTCCAATACACGTTAACTGGTGAGTCTAATATTCTTTCACAAGTGAGCTGATATCATTTATACTGTTTTTACAATGATGCAGTAGTATACATAACAGAAAACCACCTATTTTCTGTGAGAATTAAAATTCAAAATGGAAAGCAAAAGTAATGTAAGAGGGGCCTAGAGACGTGACTAATGAACAGATAAAATATTATTTAAGTGCCAGGAATGTCTGTCTTGTTTATTGTGGACCCCATGTCAAAATTGGCATCTTCTGAAATTTGTGTGAAATTGCCCAAATTGCCATTTTCTGACAACTTTATTGGGTAGTTGAAATCAGTAAATGGGCAGATTCTTGTACTCAGTCGATAGAACAACATTGGAATTGGCCGAAAATAGGGCTCATTGGAATTGGCCGAAAATAGGGCTCAAAGTTTGCGAAATCGCCTATTTCAAGACCGTTAACTTCGCAAAAGCATAATTCCGTAAGTTTTCCATCAAATTTCATACCTTTTGTGTCATTATGATCGGAAAAAGACTCTATCCTTTCATATGTTTTTTTTTTTTTTTTTTTTTTTTTTTTTTTTTTTTTTTTTTTTTTAAGTTTTCGACCCTGAGAACGAGTTTGGGGGAGTGCCTCTCGACCCTCAAAGGGTTAAACTGCCCAAACATAGATCTATGTTTGCTCGCGTAGCACTCCGAAAGTAGATCTACTTTTTTTTTACATGCTTTCTTAGGGAGAAAATCAAGGTCGGAGCGCTATGCGCGAAAACGTAGATCTACATTTGGACAGTTGAAAGGTTAAACTTCAATATGATGTTTAGATGGAGATAAATGGTAAATATACCAACAATGGATGGGAAAAATAGGCACAAATGCAATTTAATGAGATTATTGACTATGTTTTGCCCACACATTGGGCTTATCAAGTCACAAACAGATCTGTTTGTGACTTGATAAAGCCCACTGTTCAGTGGAACATCAGTAAAAGATCACATTATACTGCATTTATGTGTGTTTTTATCCATGATGTTTAGATGTTCTAGGTAGTAGGTTGGTAGACAGCAACCACCCAGGGAGGTACTACTGTCCTGCCAAGTGAGTGTGAAACAGAAGCCTGTACAGTAGTTGTTTTACATGATGGTAGGATTGCTGGTGTATTTTTTCTGCCTCATAAACATGCAAGATTTTAGGTACGTCATGCTATTTCTGCTTACACTTAGGTCACACTACACATGCATGTACAAGCATATATACAGCCTCTCCTTACTTAACGATGGAGTTCCATTCCTAAGACCACGGCGATAAACAAATTTGTCACTAAGTGAGGAGCATACTATAATGGTAGTGGGTTTGTATCACCCATCTTTGATATTGTTTTAATGTCACCTTTGCACCATTTATAACATTTCTGTTATATTTTTAAATGTTTATACAGTAGTGTACTGTATATTGCAATAAACAGAACGGAGGAAATCAGCTCTAATGTACATTATTTAGGTATGCATACTGCTCAGAGAGCCCGTCGTAAGTCCGAGTTGTCGGTGAACGAGTACGTCGCTAAGTGAGGAGAGGCTGTATACACACACACACCACTCTGGGTTTTCTTCTCTTTTCTTGCTAGTTCTTGTTCTTATTTTCTTTTATCTCCATTTGGAAGTGGAACAGAATTCTTCATCCATAAGCCATGCGTGCCATAAGAGGTGACTGAAATGCTGGGAGCAAGGGGCTAGTAACCCCTTCTCTTGTATGCATTACTAAAGTTATGAAGAGTTAGGTAGTAGGTTGGTAGACAGCAACCACCCAGGGAAGTACTACCGTCCTGCCAGATGACTGTGAAACAGAAACCTGTAACTGTTTTGCATGATGGTAGGATTGCTGGTTTCTTTTTCTGTCTCATAAACACGCTAGATAACAGGGATATCTTGCTACTCCTACTTACACTTTGGTCACACTTCACAGACACGCACATGCATATATATATATATACATCTAGGTTTTTCTCCTTTTTCTAAATAGCTCTTGTTCTTCTTTATTTATTCTATTGTCTATGGGGAAGTTTACCTGGAGAGAGTTCCGGGGGTCAACGCCCCCGCGGCCCGGATATGTGACCAGGCCTCCTGGTGGATCAGAGCCTGATCAACCAGGCTGTCGCTGCTGGCTGCACGCAAACCAGCGTACGAGCCACAGCCCGGCTGGTCAGGAACTGACTTTAGGTGCTTGTCCAGTGCCAGCTTGAAGACTGCCAGGGGTCTGTTGGTAATCCCCCTTATGTATGCTGGGAGGCAGTTGAACAGTCTCCGGCCCTTGACACTCATTGTATGGTCTCTTAACGTGCTAGTGACACCCCTGCTTTTCATTGGGGGGATGTTGCATCGTCTGCCAAGTCTTTTGCTTTCGTAGTGAGTGATTTTCGTGTGCAAGTTCGGTACTAGTCCCTCTAGGATTTTCCAGGTGTATACAATCATGTATCTCTCCCACCTGCGTTCCAGGGAATACAGGTTTAGGAACCTCAAGCGCTCCCAGTAATTGAGGTGTTTTATCTCTGTTATGCGCGCTGTGAAGGTTCTCTGTACATTTTCTAGGTCAGCAATTTCACCTGCCTTGAAAGGTGCTGTTAGTGTGCAGCAATATTCCAGCCTAGATAGAACAAGTGACCTGAAGAGTGTCATCATGGGCTTGGCCTCCCTAGTTTTGAAGGTTCTCATTATCCATCCTGTCATTTTTCTAGCAGATGCGATTGATACAATGTTATGGTCCTTGAAGGTGAGATCCTCCGACATGATCACTCCCAGGTCTTTGACGGTGTTTCGTTCTATTTTGTGGCCAGAATTTGTTTTGTACTCTGATGAAGATTTAATTTCCTCGTGTTTACCATATCTGAGTAATTGAAATTTCTCATCGTTGAACTTCATATTGTTTTCTGCAGTGGAAAAGAATCTTTCCTCCGTAAGCCATGCGTGTCGTATGAGGCGACTAAAATGCCGGGAGCAATGGGCTAGTAACCCCTTCTCCTGTAGACATTTACTGAAAAAGAGAGGAAGAAAAACTTTATAAAACTGGGATGCTTGAATGTGCGTGGATGTAGTGTGGATGACAAGAAACAGATGATTGCTGATGTTATGAATGAAAAGAAGTTGGATGTCTTGGCCCTAAGTGAAACAAAGCTGAAGGGGGTAGGGGAGTTTCGGTGGGGGGAAATAAATGGGATTGAATCTGGAGTATCTGAGAGAGTTAGAGCAAAGGAAGGGGTAGCAGTAATGTTGAAGGATCAGTTATGGAAGGAGAAAAGAGAATATGAATGTGTAAATTCAAGAATTATGTGATTAAAAGTAAAGGTTGGATGCGAAAAGTGGGTCATAACAAGCGTGTATGCACCTGGAGAAGAGAGGAATGCAGAGGAGAGAGAGAGATTTTGGGAGAATGTTAAGTGAATGTATAGGAGCCTTTGAACCAAGTGAGAGAGTAATTGTGGTAGGGGACCTGAATGCTAAAGTAGGAGAAACTTTTAGAGAGGGTGTGGTAGGTAAGTTTGGGGTGCCAGGTGTAAATGATAATGGGAGCCCTTTGATTGAACTTTGTATAGAAAGGGGTTTAGTTATAGGTAATACATATTTTAAGAAAAAGAGGATAAATAAGTATAAAAGATATGATGTAAGGCGAAATGACAGTAGTTTGTTGGATTATGTATTGGTAGATAAAAGACTGTTGAGTAGACTTCAGGATGTACATGTTTATAGAGGGGCCACAGATATATCAGATCACTTTCTAGTTGTAGCTACACTGAGAGTAAAAGGTAGATGGGATACAATGGAGAATAGAAGCATCAGGGAAGAGAGAGGTGAAGTTTATAAACTAAAAGAGGAGGCAGTTAGGGTAAGATATAAACAGCTATTGGAGGATAGATGGGCTAATGAGAGCATAGGCAATGGGGTCGAAGAGGTATGGGGTAGGTTTAAAAATGTAGTGTTAGAGTGTTCAGCAGAAGTTTGTGGTTACAGGAAAGTGGGTGCGGGAGGGAAGAGGAGCGATTGGTGGAATGATGATGTAAAGAGGAAGTAAGGGAGAAAAAGTTAGCATATGAGAAGTTTTCACAAAGTAGAAGTGATGCAAAGGAGGGAAGAGTATATGGAGAAAAAGAGAGAGTTAAGAGAGTGGTGAAGCAATGTATAAAAGAGAGCAAATGAGAGAGTGGTTGAGATGTTATCAACAAATTTTGTTGAAAATAAGAAAAAGTTTGGAGTGAGATTAACAAGTTAAGGAAGCTAGAGAACAAATGGATTTGTCAGTTAAAAATAGGAGAGGAGAGTTATTAAATGGAGAGTTAGAGTATTGGGAAGATGGAGGGAATATTTTGAGGAATTGTTAAATGTTGATGAAGATAGGGAAGCTGTGATTTCGTGTATAAGGGCAAGGAGGAATAACATTTGTAGGAGTGAGGAAGAGCCATTTTTTTGAGTTGGGGGAAGTTCGTGAGGCAGTAGGTAAAATGAAAGGGGTAGGCAGCCGGATTGATGGGATAAAGATAGAAATGTTAAAAGCAGGTGGGGTATAGTTTTGGGGTGGTTGGTGCAAGTATTTAATAAATGTAATGGAAGAGGGTAAGGTACTAGGATTGGCAGAGGCATGCATAGTTCCTTTGTAGTTATTATGAAAGAAATTAAGAGTTAAGACGGAAAATGGGGAATAGCAGATGACAAGGAGGCTTAGGAAGGGTAAGGGGTGTGTGGACCAGGTGTTTACAGTGAAACATATAAGTGAACAGTATTTAGATAAGGCTAAAGAGGTCTTTGTGGCATTTATGGATTTGGAAAAGGCGTATGACAGGGTGGATAGGGGGGCAATGTGGCAGATGTTGCAGGTGTATGGTGTAGGAGGTAGGTTACTGAAGCAGTGAAGAGTTTTTACGAGGATAGTGAGGCTCAAGTTAGAGTATGTAGGAAAGAGGGAAATTATTTCCCAGTAAAAAGTAGGCCTTAGACAAGGATGTGTGATGTCACCGTGGTTGTTTAATATATTTATAGATGGGGTTGTAAGAGAAGTAAATGCGAGGGTCTTGGCAAGAGGCGTGGAGTTAAAAGATAAAGAATCACACATAAAGTGGGAGTTGTCACAGTTGCTCTTTGCTGATGACACTGTGCTCTTGGGAGATTCTGAAGAGAAGTTGGAGAGATTGGTGGATGAATTTGGTAGGGTGTGCAAAAGAAGAAAATTAAAAGTGAATACAGGAAAGAGTAAGGTTATGAGGATAACAAAAAGATTAGGTGATGAAAGGGTTGTTGAGGTGGTTCGGACATGTAGAGAGAATGGAGCGAAACAGAATGACTTCAAGAGTGTATCAGTCTGTAGTGGAAGGAAGGCGGGGTAGGGGTCGGCCTTGGAAAGGTTGGAGGGAGGGGGTAAAGGAGGTTTTGTGTGCGAGGGGCTTGGATTCCAGCAGGCATGCGTAAGCGTGTTTGATAGGAGTGAATGGAGACAAATGGTTTTTAATACTTGACGTGCTGTTGGAGTGTGAGCAAAGTAACATTTATGAAGGGATTCGGGGAAAACCCGGCAGGCCGGACTTGAGTCCTGGAGATGGGAAGTACAGTGCCTGCACTCTGAAGGAGGGGTGTTAATGTTGCAGTTTAAAACTGTAGTGTAAAGCACCCTTCTGGCAAGACAGTGATGGAGTGAATGATGGTGAAAGTTTTCTTTTTCGGGCCACCCTGCCTTGGGGGGAATCGGCCAGTGTGATAATTTAAAAAAATAAAAAAAAAAAAAAATAAATGAAAGTTTGGGATATCAGATTGAAGGGAGAGAGTATGGAGGAGGTGAATGTATTCAGATTTTTGGGAGTGGAGTGTCAGGGGATGGGTCTATGAAAGATGAGGGAATCATAGAATTGATGAGGGGAAAAGGGCGAGGGGTTTGCACTTAGGAGTCTGTGGAGACAGAACTTTGTCCTTGGAGGCAAAGAGGGGATGTTATGAAAAGTATAGTTTTACCACGCTCTTATAGGGGTGTGAAGCATGGGTGATGAATGTTGCAGCGAGGGAAAGGCGGAGGCAGTGGAGATGTCATGCTGAGGGCAATGTGGGGTGTGAATATAATGCAGAGAATTTGTTGTTGGAAGTTAGGAGGAGGAGGTGCAGGATTACCAAAGCTTTTGTCCAGAGGGCTGAGGAAGGGTTGTTGAGGTGGTTCGGCATGTAGAGAGAATGGAGCGAAACAGAGTGACTTCAAGAGTGTATCAGTCTGTAGTGGAAGGAAGGCGGGGTAGGGGTGGCCTAGGAAAGGTTGGGGGGAGGGGTAAAGGAGGTTTTGTGTGCGAGGGGCTTGGACTTCCAGCAGCATCCCGTGAGGTGTTTGATAGGAGTGAATGGAGACAAATGGTTTTTAATACTTTCTAATACTTGACGTGCTGTTGGAGTGTGAGCAAAGTAACATTTATGAAGGGGTTCAGGGAAACCGGCAGGCTGGACTTGAGTCCTGGAGATGGGAAGTACAGTGCCTGCACTCTGAAGGAGGGGTCTTAATGTTGCAGTTTAAAAACTGTAGTGTAAAGCCCCCTTCTGGCAAGACAGTGATGGAGTAAATGATGGTGAAAGTTTTTCTTTTTCGGGCCACCCTGCCTTGGTGGGAATGAGCCAGTGTGATAATAAAAAAAAAATAAAAATGAAGAGAAATTTTTGTTTTTCTTTTTGGGCCATCCTGCCTCGGTAGGATACGGCTAGTTTGTTGATAGAAGAAGTTTAGATGATGTAGTGTAAGCACTTTACTTGATGTGTGGGTAAATGCACATAATCTTAAAGCCAGTGTACTGTCACTGACTCCTTATTTTAATCACTTCATTTACTATTGCACATTTACTATTCCATATATTACTGTTCCATATTTATTATTAAATACTACACTTATTATGTTTTCATTATATTTTTCTTTGGATATTGAGCAAAAGCTTAGCATAATGGACAACTTTATATTGCAGGTTTGGTTTGTGCTGTGCTTGGCAAGGAAGGAGATGGAGGAAAATTTATAGTGGAAGACATCTGCTTCACAGGTCTTCCTGCACCTGTTCCTCGGCAAATTATTGAAGAAGACAGGTAATGACTGCATGGTGTTTGTTATGTATTCTCTACCAGTAGGCTTCAGTTTTCAGAGGTTTTATTATTGATATAAAGCACTAAACCTGTGTGAGTCACTCAGCACAAGGAGTGGTGGATGCTAGATGGCAAGACACACAAGTTATTTTCTTGTACCAACCTAGTTAGGAATTGTTCCGAGGTAATGTTTGAGCTATATGACCCACACAGTCTTAGGACTGTATATAAATGGTATTCAGTACCGACAAGTTGAAGAATTTGACTTGTGCAACATCTGGGTATCTTTAATTTCTTCACACTCCAAGCTAGCATAAACCTGAGGAATTAAACACATGTGCAACATCTGGGTATTTTTAATTTATAAATGTTTTGCCATCCAGTGGCTTTACCAGTGCAATACAAGGACATAATGTGAAGACTGTAGAATTATATACAAAGATAAAGTAATAAGTCCCTCAGCCTGAGAGATTGATTACCTCATCTTTTGAATATTCTTCTGCAGTCTTCACATTATATCCTTGTATTGCATTGATAAAACCACTGGATGGCAACACATTTATAAATTAAAAATACCCAGATGTTGCACTTGTGTCTAATTCTTCAGGTTTATGTTAGTTTGGAGTATGAAGAAAGTAACATTTATGAAGGGATTCAGGGATTCCCTTTAGCCAGACTTTCAAAGAGGTTGGAGGTACGGTGCTTTCACTGTGAAGGACGGACCAATATTTTGGCTTGGAGGATCACTTAAATTGTGATGTATCTGTACGTTTGGATGGAAAGCAAAAGAATAAATGATGATAACTAACCACAGAACAGGCAGGGTTTGAACCCATGGTGAGTGAGTAATAAAACTCCAGGCCAGTGAGTGAGCAACATGGTATGTTTACAATTGTTATTATGATTTCATAAGTAATAAATGAGGGTGTGTATTTTTTGAGGTGGGGTCAACATATCTTGGTGGGAAATGCTTGATATGTTGATAAACATAACCAAAAGATATTACAAGCTAAAGCTTACTAAAATTTTGTGTAATAGTTATACATTAGGTTGTAATACAGTGGTAAGTATTTCTTTTCTGTGAGCATGTATGTAATGATGTCTATATGGAAAGGTACATGTTCATGATGTCTGTGTGAGCAGGTATTTGCTGGTGATGTCTATACGAACAGGTATGTGATGATGATGTGATGTGTATATGAACAGGTATGTGCTGATTATATCTATGTGGACAGGTATGTGTTTATAATGTCTATATGAGGAGGTATATGTATGTAGGTAGTAGGTTGGTAGACAGCAACCACCCAGGGGGGTACTACGGTCCTGCCAAGTGAGTGTGAAACGAAAGCCTGTAATTGTTTTACATGATGGTAGGATTGCTGGTGTCCTTTTTTCTGTCTCATAAATATGCAAGATTACAGGTACGTCTTGTTACTTCTACTTACACTTAGGTCACACTACACATACATGTATGTACATGTTTATTTATACACACTCATCTGAGTTTTCTTTGATTTTATCTTAATAGTTTTTGGTCTTATTACTTTTCCTTTTATATCCATGGGGAAGTGGAATAAGAATCTTTCCTCCGTAAGCCATGCGTGTTGTAAAAGTCAACTGAAATGCTGGAAACAATGGGCTAGTACCCCTTTTCCTGTAATTACTTAAAAGAATAAGAAGAAGAAAATTGTCAAAGTGGGAAGTCTGAATGTGCGTGGATGTTGTGCAAATGATAAGAAAGAGATGATTGTGGATGTTATGAATGTGAAGAAGCTGGATGTTCTGGCTTAAGTGAAACAAAGCTGAAGGGGGTGGGAGAGTTTCAGTGGAGAGGAATAAATAGGATTTGGTCAGGGGTTTCAAATAGAGTTTGAGCTAAAGAAGGAGCAGCAATAATGTTGAAGGATAAGTTATGGCAGGAAAAGAGGGACTATAAATGTATTAATTCAAGGAGTATGTGGAGTAAAATAAAGGTTGGATGTGAAAAGTGGGTTATAGTAAGCGTATATGCACCTGGAGAAGAAAGAAGTGTAGAGGAGAGAGAGAGATTTTGGGAAATGTTGAGTGAATGCGTGGGGATTTTTGAACCAAGTGTGAGAGTAATGGTGGTTGGGGATTTCAATGCTAAAGTGGACAAAAATGTTGTGGAGGGAGTAGTAGGTAAATTTGGGGTGCCAGGGGTAAATGAAAATGGGGAGCCTTTAATTGAGCTATGTGTAGAAAGAGGTTTGGTAATAAGTAATACATATTTTATGAAGAAGAGGATATACAAATATACAAGGTATGATATAACATGTAATGAAAGTAGTTTGTTAGATTATGTATTGGTGGATAAAAGGTTGATGGGTAGGCTCCAGGATGTACACGTTTATAGAGGGGCAACTGATATATCGGATCGTTATTTAGTTGTAGCTACAGTTAGAGTAAGAAGTAGATGGGAAAAGAGGAAAATGGCAACAACAAGCAAGAGGGAGGTGAAAGTGTATAAACTAAGGGAGGAGGAAGTTCGGGTGAGATATAAGCAGCTATTGGCAGAAAGGTGGGCTGGTTCAAGTATGAGTAGTGGGGGGTTGAAGAGGGTTGGAATAGTTTTAAAAATGCAGTATTAGAATGTGGGGCAGAAGTTTGTGGTTATAGGAGGGTGGGTGCAGGAGGAAAGAGGAGTGATTGGTGGAATGATGAAGTAAAGGGTGTGATAAAAGATAAAAAGTTAGCTTATGAGAGGTTTTTACAAAGCACAAGTGTTATAAGAAGAGTAGAGTATATGGAGAGTAAAAGAAAGGTAAAGAGAGTGGTGAGAGAGTGCAAAAGGAGAGCAGATGATAGAGTGGGAGAGGCACTGTCAAGAAATTTTAATGAAAATAAGAAAAAATTTTGGAGTGAGTTAAACAAGTTAAGAAAGCCTAGAGAACGAATGGATTTGTCAGTTAAAAACAGAGTAGGGGAGTTAGTAGATGGGGAGATGGAGGTTTTAGGTAGATGGTGAGAATATTTTGAGGAACTTTTAAATGTCGATGAAGAAAGGGAGGCAGTAATTTCATGCATTGGCCAGGGAGGTATACCATCTTTTAGGAGTGAAGAAGAACAAGATGTGAGTGTGGGGGAGGTGCGCGAGGCATTACATAGAATGAAAGGGGGTAAAGCAGCTGGAACTGACGGGATCATGACAGAAATGTTAAAAGCAGCGGGGGGGGATATAGTGTTGGAGTGGTTGGTATTTTTGTTTAATAAATTTATGAAAGAGGGGAAGGTACCTAGGGATTGGCAGAGAGCATGTATAGTCCCTTTATATAAAGGGAAGGGGACAAAAGAGATTGTCAGAATTATAGAGGAATAAGTTTACTGAGTATACCAGGAAAAGTGTATGGCAGGGTTATTATTGAAAGAATTAGAGGCAAGACAGAATGTAGGATTGCAGATGAGCAAGGAGGTTTCAGAGTGGGTAGGGGATGTGTAGATCAAGTGTTTACATTGAAGCATATATGTGAACAGTATTTAGGTAAAGATAGGGAAGTTTTTATTGCATTTATGGATTTAGAAAAGGCATGTGATAGAGTAGATAGGGGAGTAATGTGGCAGATGTTGCAAGTACAGTATATGGAATAGGTGATAAGTTACTAAATGCTGTAAAGAGTTTTTATGAGGATTGTGAAGCTCAAGTTAGGGTGTGTAGAAGAGAGGGAGATTACTTCCCAGTAAAAGTAGGCCTTAGACAGGGATGTGTAATGTCACCATGGTTGTTTAATATATTTATAGATGGGGTTGTAAAAGAAGTAAATGCTAGGGTGTTCGGGAGAGGGGTGGGATTAAATTATGGGGAATCAAATACAAAATGGGAATTGACACAGTTGCTATTTGCTGATGATACTGTGCTTATGGGAGATTCTAAAGAAAAATTGCAAAGGTTAGTGGATGAGTTTGGGAGTGTGTGTAAAGGTAGAAAGTTGAAAGTGAAAAGAGTAAGGTGATGAGGGTATCAAATGATTTAGATAAAAATTGGATATCAAACTGGGGAGGAGGAGTATGGAAGAAGTGAATGTTTTCAGATACAGGTCTCCCTCAACATTCGCGAGGGTTAGGGGATCAAGAGCCTTGCGAATGTTGAAAAACCGTGAATGTTTGGTGCCCCAATATATTGTAGGGAAATATATTACAATACTGCTTCCTTAACTTGTTGAACCATGAATAATCATGAAATACATGAAAACGTCATAAATTGTACTAAATATATACATGTTATGCTTTAATAACGTATGTTATTTAATAACATGTATGTTAATAACATGTATGTTATTAAATACCACAGACTTCACCACTGCCTCCACCAATGCCTCCACCACTGCGAGTCCCTACTACCCTCCCTCCAACCCCCGCAACTGGCAGCCAGCCCTCCCACCACTCAGTGTGGTGAGTGTTTTGTTTGTTCATTATTTGCTATTAAACTACAGAACAAATAATGTAAACCCATTCATGACTGCATATTGGAATGGCTATTAGGAAAGGTATTAGACGGTGACATCATGTGTTTACTCTTGAACACAGCAAAGAATCGAACATTTCTGCTATTGCTAATAATAACAATAGTAATAATAATAATAATAATAATAAATCCGATATAATTGAAGAAGGAAATTGTACAAAAATACGAGGGAGTGGTTGACACATCGTCAGTGTGACTTAGTTTATGCTGGAGTGAACATTAGTCTCCCTGCTCTTCCAAACATTTTACAATAATTCAGCAGTTGAGGCAGTGGTATTTAATAACATATATGTTATAAATAATAATAGTACATGTTATTATTAATAACATGTATTTATATTAACATGTATGTATTTTAAAAAACTTATGTTTAAAAAAATTACATATTATTAATAACATGTATTAAAAGGAAAGGGGGATAAAAGAGAGTGAAAAAATTTTATGGGGGGATAAGTCTGTTGAGTGTACCTGGAAAGGGTGTATGAGAGTTTAATTGAAAGAATTAAAAGGAAAGACGGAGAAA